GGGGGGGGGGGGGAGAGTTCCAAGTTTACATAATACTTACCATGAGTACACTAAAAAGGGAGCCTATTAGAGCCATCACAATACCTGCATTTTGAGAAGGACATTTCAGTATAATCTAGCCATAAAAAGATATAGTAGAACGGGTGAAAAATGAATTCAAAAGTTCTATACATCTTCCACACCAAATGTCACTCATAAAGCATACTCTAGTGGTATAACAGATACATTTCATAGGACAGATCTAATTTAGCTGCAATAGGCCAACTTCACGGAGGGAATTCGAAAACTCCTAACTGCTCCATTTTTAGAAAAACCACCATCATCAAAATTTTATCAATTATTACTTCAGAAATAGCCCCGTACTAAATAAATAGTCAAATTTCAAAATCTCAATAAATTAATTCTCCATTGTATCAGGATACATAAACTAATGTCGATAGAATTCAAAGAAAAGGAAACCAGAATGTGTTGAGGGGTACATTTGCAGCAATAACTTTAATAATAGGCCAGGGAGACCAATCTGAGTATAATCTAAAGGATTCATATTAGCTGCTGCATAAGAATATGATATGGAAAACAGTAGGCATGTAAGCAGGAAAAGAATCTTCATAAGAAGCAATCTACCATAGTAAAGCATAGAAGATGGAAATAAAAGATCAAATTGACCTTCAAACAACCCTAGGCCATTCAAGAAACCAAAGTTGATCTTTACTTTTAGGATTTCTCCTTTAAGTATTCTGCATTAGAGAATCATTTTATGATTCCTAGGAGTAATAGAATATGCACACAATATTCTGTTCTTTGATTGTATAAAGGGCATCCTAGTACACAAAGTCTCTCGTGTTCACGTAGTGTTTGGGGAAGTGCCGCACCCCAGGGGTGTGATGTAGATTGCCTATCATAACACAAGTGTTAATGGCTGATTCCATGGTTCGAACCATTGACCTATAGGCCACATGGAGACAACTTTACCGCTGCTCCAAGACTCCCGTTTTGATTCATTGATTGTAAATTGAGTGATATTTGGGTTCAAAGAAAATCAGAGTACGCTATACTTTTTGATATAATAAGCAGAGATAAACAGGTCAACTACCACAAGCAGCACATAAGCAGCCATGTGCACATATGTGTCAACAGGCAGCTAAAAGAAACATAACAATTACAAAATTGATTACGAATAGTGCAGTGTGAATCAATGAACAAGAAGGAAGATTAAACGGTTTAAAATAACTTACCAAAAAAGGGAAGAAGAAATGCAACACAAAGTGTAGATATAACCAATGCTGTCCTTAGGACAATGAAAAACCAGTAACTAGTAGCCAAAGCTGCAGGAAGCAACTCCTCAATACTTCTAGCTAACGGGTTCAGTAACAAGGAATATTTGTGAAAAGTTAAGGAACTTAACTAGAAATTGATAAGAACATTGACAACATTGAAAAAGCTTCTTAAAAGAAAATTTAATCTCATAAAAGGATATTTGGTAATTGGAGTTACTACCTGCAAATGAAATGAAATAAATTAAATATAAAATGATAATGACAGCTCTAAGGGACGAGAGCAAACAAAACTCACTGTCGTCCATAATGCAACATTAGAAACAAAAGCATGTTTTGGCAAATTCAGAGTAATCTGTGATTGCGTAGATTGACCAAACATAAGAAATCCCATGATTGCAGCACCACCATATAAGAGAATACACAAAGTAAAGCTGCAAAATACCCAAAACCAAACATTATAGTGGCTGTAAAAAGAAAGTGATCAATAAAAATCATAAAGCCCTCTATACCACACAATGACTGCTGTTGTAAATTTGGTTTTGTCAGCCATAGATTGATAGATATTTGGGAAAACAGAGTGCCCTGAATAGCAATACCCATAGACACCTATTGCAAATGGAATACCACTCCAATTTACCACTGGAGCCGTCTGACGAAATCCAATTTGATCTACTGTCCCAAGTAAGAGAAGACATACGACCACTAGAGCTGTCGAAATGAGACCTCCGACTGCAAAAAAGGGCAATGTAGTATTATGATCTGATAAAGAACTAAAAATGGGTCGCAGCTGTAGAACTATTTGGAAACCTGAAAGGTAAGAGATCAATCGTAAATCTTTCAACCAAACTGTGGGCAGAATGATAAGAACACTAATGATTGCAAACAAGTGCATGGAGTCCAATCGAGAACCAAACAAGTAAATGTGTGCTCCAGGGTATAGCTGCTTGAGATTATCTCCATCAAGTATGATAAATTCTACACAAGAGGACTGCAAGTCAAGAAAGACTTATTAGGAATTGAGCAATGTCAAACGAGACCAAACAATCTGCAAATCCAGCTGAGGAGTGCATCTCTTACATATAGCTCCATGTACAAAATAATCTGCACCAAACCAAGAAAACCACAGGGTTAACATTCAGTAGTTTAGAAACCACCTTTTCATTATTGGCTTATATATAAGTCTTACTCCACATATTTAATCCTTTCCACTTCATTGACTTGTTTTATTTTGGCAAAATACATTAAACCACCCCTAAACTTGGCGGAGATTATGAGTATCATCCCCGAACTATGCACGGTCTTAATTACCCCCTCAACTTGGCCTTTTGAGAGTCATTACACCCCCCC